TCCTTGCCACTTAGGGGTTTAGGGGTTTAGGGTTTAGTGGTTCGGGTTTATTTGAGGGTAGGTATTCCCATACTTGCGGAATGAGCATGATGCAGTAGGGTGCCAGGGACGACTCAGGGGAGTGTGACACGTTCTTCGCGCACCTCGGCAATGGGGACACCTAAACCCTAAACCCTAAAACCCTAAACCCCTAAACCAGAAACCCCTACTAAACCCTAAACCCTAAACCCCTGAACCCTAAACTTCATCGCGCACCTCGGCAATGTGGACAGACATGATGAAGGCCACGAACCTGGAGTTTCGGGGAGCACAAACCCAAACCCAAGTCGAAGGATCTGGGCTCCAAAGACCTGGTCAGACCCCAACTACTTAAAGGGGGCTCATAATTAGGTCGTTACGGTATATCTTGCTAGAATCATCTTGAATTGTCAACGAGGGTGCGATTCGTAAAATTAGGGTTGACTGCGTATAACAAGGATCCTGTCATTTGGAAGCCCCGTTTGAAGCACTATTTTGGTCCAGAGCACTCCCTTGGCACAGAACTTGGTGCTCAGGGCTTAAGGTTTTGAGATTCGGGATTTGGGTTCCCTCGTGTTTGACTTACGTCTGTTAATAGGCCTAGGCGACTTCGTGAGTAAGCCGTAAGTGGAATTATAGAAATAGGCGGTGTTATCCTTCTTACAACCCTGCCTATAAGGCTTATAACCTACTCGCAAAGTCCCCTGATCCCTTCAGATAGAAGCACCCATAACTTCCACACGCACTCTCCACATCGCGGCCAAAGGAGCTTCTGGATGCCTGCGTAGATGGATCGCCCTTTCTCCACGGCCTTCACGATGGAGGTGAAGTTGTCATCGGTCAAGATCCTCAGAAACTGATGGGGGTCGGGTCCTTGGGGGATGTCTCCTCAGCTGATGTTGTACCTACGACTTTGCTTATTAGTAGCACATTTGCACCATCTCTCAATAATTAGCCCTAAACCCGAACACCCGAATAATGCAAAACCCCAGATCGACACAGAAAGCCGGCTCAGCCTATCGCACGCGACCAAGCGTCATCTCCGCCGCACCCTTTGCCACCTTTGAACTTGGATTTCTTGAAGGAGGACTCTTCATTCATGGCTTAAACTACATGATCTCTGAACATGGAATCCGAACATCCCAAGCCGTCAGCATGTCTAAAGCCTCTGTCCTGACCTCTGCCCAAAAGCTTAGGCATGCAAGCACCTGCTCTCGTGATCAGTTTAGCTACCCTGCCTCAAAGTCATCTGGGGTCTCGGGTCTTTCCCCTTCCTCCTTCCTCATACTCCGTGGAAGCCAGTCCCTCCATGAAAGGTGCTTCTCCGCACTGAGCCCTTAACCCTTCGCCCCTCCATGAAACGGTTGATGATATAAATCCTGCATAACCCAAAATAAGGAATATACCGTAATTCCCATAGTTTAGGGTCCTTAAGGTCATGCAGGATATCTATCATCAACAGAAGGTGTGCCTCCGTGCCCTGGATGCCCATCGCCACGCCGATGTTCGCCTCGTTCAACGCCGGGGCGTCGTTGACGCCGTCGCCTGTCCTCACGTTCTGCAAGGTTTTAGGGTTTCGGGTTTAGGGTTGAGGGTCAAGGCGAAGCTTTGCTACAGAAGGGTACCCATATTCAGGAAGCTAGAATCGGAGTCCGCCTCATGGGTCCTCCGTTACGTCCTCACCGCTGCTGCTATAGAGAACAGCCCCCGATGCCCAACAAACACTGCCCAGCCGGCTCGGAAGTCTAGAAACCTCTCAGAACTTCTCCCACAAAGCCCCCAAAATCGCCCTCTCCCCTCCGCCCCCACCCCATCTTCCATCCGTTGGCCCAGATCCGGCAGACCGAAGCTTGTCATCCCCAAACCCCAAATCCTAAACCCTACTGCCTGAATCCCAAAACCCTGATAAGGGTTTAGGGTTTAGGCCAAAACACCCCGAAGCCAAGCAGTGTGTGAGAGGAATGCGCGGGCCATATGGAAAGCCAAGAGGCATTGCACAGACCAGGCCCTGCCGCTGGAGGGATTTTACCTCGACTGGGGCTCTTAAGTGGGTAGTCCTTTAAATTAGGGTCCCTTGACAAAAATCCCAAAAAATAGTACGGCACCCTTATAAAAAGGACCCTAAAAGGCACCTTACTTTAGAGAACTACCCAAGTCCCATGTGTTCAGAGGGATCCTCTTGGGCCCTTTCTAGGGATCCTCTTGGCCCTCTCTAGAAGCGCATAGTTTTTTTTTTTGCTCATGGGGCGTCTCCAAAAGCGCCTCTCGGGTTTGAGAAAAAAGGCCCTTACTTTAACTGACTCGGCCTTCCTCCTTCTCAGACTGCAGCTCAAGGGTCCCAGGCCTTCTGAAGCTTAGGGGCTGAGGGTTTAGGGTTTAAGGTTTCAGGGTTTAGGGTTTTTAGGGTTTTGGGGCTTTAGGGTTCAGGGTTTTAGGGCTTCAGGGCTTTAGGGAGTCAGGTTTGGGCTTGGGTGTGTGTGGGGCGTCCAGGTTTACCGCTAAGCCTTTGGGGCTCAAGGGCCATCGGGGCTCCGTGTTCAAGGAGAGCCCCTAAACCCTAAACCCCTAAAGCCCTAAAGCCCCAAACCGTCTGAAACTTGAGTGAGGAATCCCTGACAAGGGGAACCCTCTAAGCGGAAGCAAAACAGGCCCCCAAAACAAACAGATCTGTCGATGCTACGTCTTTTCGGGCTTGGAGCCCGAAGGCCCCAAACCCGAAGCCCTGCAACCTAAAACCCTAAACCCTAAACCCCAAAGCCCTAAACCCTAAAATGCCCACCACGGAGAAGGCAGGGCTTTAGGGTTTGAGGATCCCCCGAAGGCTCGGATGGCCACAAAAAGCAAAATCCAAGAGCCAAACGAAGAGCTCCCAACAACCGCTACCCCAGGTCCCCATGTAGAAACCTAATAGCATCCAGAAAGGACATTGAGTAACCCCTATACAACCCTTACTACACTTAGTGAGCCCTCATAGTAAATTTCTTGAACGCTTATGATAAGCCCTAATCCCTAAAGCCTAAACCCTACTTTGGGGGGTCCTTTTTGAAGAGACATTCGGACCGGCGAGGTGCAATCTCCAGCTTGTCGGCCGGCTTGGCTCGTGCGAAGACGCGAACTCGGCTGGTGATATCGTCCTCGGATGGAGTCTTTGGTGTTGAGGGGTTTAGGGTTTAGGGCTTAGGGCTTAGGGTTTAGGGTTGAGGGTTTAGGGTTCAGCTTCAGAGCTTGGACGTACAACTCGATTTCACCAGCAGCATCGAAGCTTAAGGTGCAGAATGACATGAATGCATGATCTTGAGTTCCGTGTTCCCCCCTCGTACTGCCGAGCACCATGATGCTGCCCGTGGAATATATGGGTAGTTCTCTAAATTAGGGTCCCTTTTGTAGGCCCCCAAAATAATACGGCACCCTTATACAAAGGACCCTAAAAGGGAGCCTAATTTAGAGAACTACCCATATGATTGCTCTAGGGCATGACATGATGAGGCATGATTGCACATGGCAGGAGCATTGTATGCTCCAACAGCTTCTCCGGTCCCAGTGCAGCCTGTAACACCTTTCAAATTGAAGACCAACCTGGTGCCTCAGGGTTTAGGGTCAGGGTTTAGGGTTTAGGGAACCCGAAGCCCAGAAGCCTGAAAGCCTCATCTGGCTCAAAAGTGCCTCAAACCCTGGAAGTTTGCTCCCAAAGCCACAACGCAAGACACGGTCATCAACGCACAAACGTGCCCGGACCTTGCATCATATGAAAGACCTCCCTAAACCCTGAAACCCTTTCTTGGGGCCCCAGCCATCTGCTCAGCTGGCAGGTAGGTCTCGTCCCGCGGGCGCAGGGAGTTGCAGTCCACTGCCTCAGGGCCGATGAGTTTGTTCGCTTGATTTTGAGGTTGCCACTCGGGGGTACGCTTAGCTTACCATGATAAGGCCGCTATATGGCGACGATCAGAAGGTCACCATCTTGAGGTTGCTGCAAGAAATATGCAGTAGTAGGGTTATCATGATAAGGTTACCATCACATGCTGACGGCAAAAAGGATGCCATGATAAGGCTACGAGTACGGCTTGCAAGAAGTGGCTCGGGCTTACCCATAGGCCCCTAAGTAGGTCCTTTTTGTGGCTTATATTTAGAATCCTATAAGGCAATCCCTAAAAGGAACTACTTAGGGGCCCATGGGTAAGACGAAGTATTTCGGCTCCGGGGCTGCTTCCGCCACGTTGTCCTCCGGCCGAAGGATCTCGACCCGCCTCTGAGCGGAAGGGGATTCAGGGCCTATAAGGGCTCTCGAGGCCTAGGGTTTTGAGAGCTGAAGGTTGAGAGTTTAGGGATTAAGGGGATTCAGGGCCTAGGGCTTGAGGCTTAGGGTTTAGAGCTCAAGGTTGAGAGTTTAGGGGTTAAAAGGTTACAGGTGTAGGGCTGCTTCTTGTTTTTGGGCACCTTTTTCCGTGCGCTATTTCTAGCCTCTGGAATCCGCAATTTGCGGAAGGTGTAGGGTTGAACGTCGAAGGCTTCGGGTTTAGATTTGAAGACGACTTTGGGTTTGGGGTTGAGGCTTCGATTATCGGGGCCTTCAGGGTTTCGGATATCCATAAACCCTAAACCCTAAACCCTAATCCCTAAACCCTAATGAAGTTTGGGTTCGGGATCAGCGCCCGAGTCTCCCACTGCGGGTCAGTTTCCCGACTTGGGGTCGGCGCCTGTTTGACCCTTGGCACAGCACCCCTACAACCTGGATAGGAAAGATGCGCTTTTTTAACGGGAAAAACTACCTAAACCCTAAACCCGATAACTCATGAAAGCAAGCTTGGGGGGTGATGCTCTGCGAAAAAAGCGAAGCACCCTCAATGATCTCAGCCTGCACCCCTGCACACACCACAGGGCCGCACCTGGCGATGGCCGTGGCAGTCTTCAGGTAGTCCCCGGTGATCATCACCTCGCTAGGATTTTGCAGCATTTAGTCTAGTATGTGTGCACGACTCTTGCCTGGAATGTCCATGTCTCGCCAGTCTCTACTCAACTCCCTTTGCTTTCCCCTGGCTCCTCGCGTTCCCGCGCGATTCTTTGTTCCCGGCTCTTTGCCCCCCTAAACCCTAAACCCTTGCTCCCTAAACCCTAAACCCTAAACCCGAAACCCTAAACCCTAAACCGTGAACCCACCCTAAACCCTAAACCCTGAGCTTCGGGCGACTCGGATGCCCGCTTCCCGGGCGCCCAGCACCGACTCCCGAACGCCCTCGCGGTCCGGGTCCAGGGATGCAACCATGCCAACGAGAGTCAAGTTGGACCTTTGGGGGGAGGGTTTAGGGTGTAGGGTTTAGGGTTTAGGGGGTCCAGGGATGCAACCATGCCAACGAGAGTCAAGTTGGACCTTGGGGGGAGGGTTTAGGGTTTAGGGTGAGTCAAGTTGGACCTTTGGGGGGAGGGGCCGGGGGGAAGGGGCCGGAAAGGTCGGGGTGGTTTAGGGAGTCTAGGGCTCTAGATTTCAGGAGCTGCAGTGAATTTTGGGCCTCGGTTTGTTTGTTGACCCATCCTTCAGACAAGGCACCGCAGCATGTTGAACTTGTCGTCGAGTGGCACGTCGTCGTTCTCCAGCTGTGCTGTGGGCTCTGCCCGGAAGCCGACGGCTACAGCAAGGACTCGTAGGGCCTGGTCGGAGTAGGCGTCCACAACCCCGGCGTTGATACGCGCCTTCTCCTCCTCACTGAGGGCGTACACACCACCGTCCTCTCGAAGGATGCTGCTGCAGCTCTGAATCACCCAGTTCGGGGCACCTTTGCAGACGGTAAAGCCGGTGGTACCGGGGGGCAAGGGCATGCCACCATCGCACAAGCTCGTGCGTCCGGTGACATCGGAGACCGTCAGCATCATCTTGCGCGCCGAGGAGAAGGGGATGTTCACAAGACGGCGGTAGCCCTTCGTCACATCCTCGGGCAGGCCGATCTTCCTGGCGGCCACGACGATAGGCGCCTCGGAGGAGTTGCCCCGGTACTGCCAGGTCGCTTCTCCCGTCTCCTCATCCTCGGCCAGGAAGAGCACCGTGTCACTGCAGAGAACGGCAGAGAGCAGGGTGCTACGCACGCCCAGGTCGCGGTTGGAGTTCACCCCGTTGGGCAGGAGCATGCCCACGCGCTGGACCTGGCCGTTGGTGGGATCGAAGCCTTGGCCGGTGATGTTGTACTCCACGCCACAGGACCACATCTTCGTCATGGTCATCTTTCCTGCCCAAGGGTTTCGACTCAACAACCTGGCTGTAAGCTGGTTTTGCTTGCACAGTATGAGTTCAACCCTCACCCTGCCAGACCTTCGGTCAGTGTCCCGGTCTTGTCACTGCAGATCACCGAAGCAGAGCCCAGGGTTTCCACTGCCGCGATCTTGCGTACCTTCGGCAAACTGAAGGTCAGGGCGGAGTGGTTGATACTCAGGCGCGATGAGTTGCCACGGTGTGCTTGCGAAACGACGACCAAGGAGACAAGGAGACTCTCTGTGCTTCTGAATAGATAACTTCCAATAACCACTTAAGGAAGCCGAGCTTTCAGAATGCCAGCTACAGCCACAGTAACTTTGAAACCATCACAACAGCATGTATAGTCTCATGAATCAAAAGTTACCCTCCTGCCTGCACATTCTTCTCGACCATTTCTTGGCAGCCGATCGCAAGCGAGATGGTGACGCAAAGTGGGATGCCTTCTGGAATGGCAGCGACGGCCAAGGTCACGGCAATGAGGATCATGTAGACCCAGCTGGGGCTTTCTGGGAACTCAGGATCCTGGCATCACTCCACAAACATAGCAAGAGGGAACAGCGGGGCATGTGCAAAACGGAAGCTTCAATTCAGGGAATGATGGCCCAGGAAGGGTAGCTAAAAAATGCGACCCCTGCGAGGAAAAAAGGCTGGGGAATGTGCACAGAAGACGGGACGGTTTAGGGTTTAGGGTTTAGGGTTTAGGGTTTAGGGGCGGGCTCCTTGGTACCAATGAGCAGGCCGATGATAAACACCACCACGCAGACAGCGATGGCCAGGACACCGATGCGTGCGCCCAAGCGCTCCACGTTCTCCTCGGGAGTTTAGGGGTTTAGGGTTTAGGAGGGTTTATAGGGCTTATAGGGATTATATGGTGTATAGGGTTTTTAGGGTTTAGGGATTTTGTTGGGTTCCCTAAAGCGGAGTTCCAGGGTCCCGGATACTGTCCTTTCTTTTCCCAGGCCGTCTGCGAATAGGACGTAAGCTGTAGTGGGCTTATAGATGTATATGTATATATATTATAGATATAGATATAGATACAGATGTAGATACAGATATAGATATATATGATATATATATATATATACCAATGCATGGTGGTTGTCCTGCTTGTGATCCTCATTGTAACTTTGTTTACCAAACCCCCTGAACCCTTTCTGTCGGTGTCACATGGCGTCAGATTGGCCTTGAGTCCCGTCCCTAAGTCCCGAAACCCACGCAGCATCCAAAAGCCCGAAAACTCTTGACCCTAACATCTTTGCTCCCCAACCACCACACAACCCAACAACCCAAAACCCCAAAAACCCCACACCCTCTTCACACGCATAGAACTTGTGGAAGCCCCGGATGAACACTCTGAAGCAGCCTTGCCGCCCTCTGCGGCCCCAAACCGAAAACCCTAAACCCTAGACCCTAAACCCTAAACCAGAACCTCCATGTTCGCTCCTGGAGAGGCGTCTTGTTCTCGGCCGAGGTGGGCAGGCAGTCACACCAGCCGCTGCTGCCACCCTTCCAGGTCCAGTCGCTCTAGGGTTTAGGGCTTAGGGATTAGGGTTTAGGGTTTGGAGCTTAGGGCTGCGGGTTTAGGGTTTTGGGTCATGACTTACTGCTTTACACGGTCTTCCTTTCAGTGTAGTTTAGTTTCAATGGCCAGGACTTCAGCGAAACCTTTAGGACAAGGGTTTAGGCTTTTTGTGGGCTGGAGGAGGGGTTTAGGCGCTGGTGCGCTTCGGAATATCCTCGGGCGTGTGTCCCCAGGATACACGATTTGAGGCGGGCTTCGGGCTTGCGGCTTCGGGTAAGTCCAATCTGGAATTCCAACCCAACCCACGGGGTTAGACCGCTTTGGGCGGCTATCCTAACTCATAGAACCACTGTGACTCCTGGTAACCCTGATCGTCCCCGTTTAGTAACTCTTAAAGTACAGCTACGCTTGCAGGACCCTAGCAACCCATACAATACAGCACCCCCCTAGTAACTCTTGTTGTAATTGTTACCTTTGTATATAGAACCCTTACAAAGCGGCGGCTTGCCACGATGATGAGTCTTCTTTACGAAGAAATCGCAACGTCCGAGGTCAAGAAGGACTCTTCATCTGAACATCCCCGGAGGTAGCTGCAGGGACTAACTGTAACCGAAAAGACCCCCATTTGGGGGGTTCCTTATTATGATTTCTATATATATATATATCTCTATATATATATATATATATATAGAGTTCCTGAAAAAAGCGGGCTGTTCGGTTACAGGTAGGGCCTAGGTGTTCGAGCATTCTTCTTCGCTACAGGTAGCCCGATTCGCAGGATGCCTCCTCGTCTTGTTTCGCCATCATCTTGGCAATCTCGCCGATGCGCGTGTTCATGCCAGTGGCAACCTGAGGATGACTCTTACAACGCCAGCTAACCCAATAAAAAGCAGTCAATACGAAAATTGCCATTTGAAGAAGAGGCTTCAGAAAGATCACAGTGTCACCAAAGAAGAAAAACACAAATGGTTTCGATTGACTACCAAGCAACCACAATGCCTTTGCACTTGCCATTGGCCACCGGGCATCCCGAGAAGACCATGTTTTCGGGCGTCAGCTTCGTCCTGATATCGATGGGTTCACGCTGGCATCATGGGCTTAGGGCTTACGGGCTGAGGGTTTTCGGTTTCAGGGCTTCTTTCTGGCCATGGGGCTTGAGGCTTAGGGAGTTTGGGCTGCGAGCTTTGGGTTTGTGGTTAGAGCTTGGGGCTTAGGGCCGGGCCTCATCCTAGACCCTAAACCCAAAGCCCTCGACCAAAAAAAACTGTAAACCCTAAACCCAAAGCCCTCGACCAAAAAAAACTGTAAACCCTAAACCCAAAGCCCTCGACCAAACAAAACTGTAAACCCTAAACCCAAAGCCCTCGACCAAAAAAAACTGTAAACCCTAAACCCTAAGCCCTCGACCAAAAAAACTGTAAACCCTAAACCCTAAACCCTAAACCCCTAAACCCCTAAACCCTAAACCCCTAAACCCTAAACCCACCCATTCCCTCACGGCCGAGTCTGAGGCCGCGGCTGCTCCTTGATCTTCGTGTTCTTGGACCTGGGATCAGACCCAAGAGTTCCTTAAAGGTAGCCCTGAGGTGTTTAAGGGCTCCTTTTAAGGGCTCCTTTTCAGGCTTGCTAGAATACAATAGTTAGTATCATACCACTAGTAGGAACGCTTGAAGGTTAGCTTAAGGGTTTTTTGGGGTGTCTATAGGTTTAAATGGTGGCTCCCAGGGTTTGTTGCTGAGTTCAAAACTCCTCTGGGAGCCAAGCACATCATCCGGCTCGCCGGTGAGGGCCTTCTCATCGACTTTCCTGTGAATCGCTGAGCTTGTCTGATAGTTGCGTCGGGATTCTGAAGCTTTCGTGCATCTGCAGGATTGCTCAACGTCTCCGGGTTTAGGGTTTAGGGTTTAGGATCACAGGACTTGTACACTTCTGCAATAAGTAGCTGATGACCAGGGCTTCAGGCACATCAGTGGGGGCTCCTGAGAGCCACGGTCACATTTCACATCTCCGGGTCGTTCAAGCAAGGACTGAAAGGACATACAGGCTTTCCACATAGCCAACCTGCTTCTCTTGTGGTACCACCGACACGTTGATTCAGGGCTTTGCGCTGAGTTTCTGGGGATCTCAGAGGCTTTGGGGCTTGGAAACATGTCGGTTCAGGGTGCAGGGTTTGGGGTGTAGGTTTTAAGCGCAGGGTCGAAATGTCCAGAAGCAAGACACTGCCAACTTCCGTGGGAAAGACCGCCATCTCATCCACCGAGATATCCCAAAAATAAACCCATCCAACCCTCAAACCCAAGCCGGAACCCCACACCTTAAAGTTGAAATCTGAACCCCGAAATCCTTTTTTCACGAAATCCCTGAAAATCAGAAGCCATGCGCCCTCAAACCATTGAATGGAATCCTAACCATCCCCAAACCCCAATAGTTTTCAAGGAAGCAACAAAAGACCAAAATTCCCGCAATCCTGAGACCTTCCTTCATCTGTCGTGTTTATGGCCTCATCATTACTACACCTCCTCCTTCCTTTCTTAACCCTCAACCCCTAAACCCTA